AGCACAAAGGAAAAGGAAAAGATCAACTGCCTATATATTGTAATGATGAGGCTCAAGAAATTGGAGTAAGTATTTAACTTAACAATTTTATTTTAAATTGTGTCATGAATTAATTCAAATTATTTTAGTTATAATATTTAAACTATTGTACAATATAGTTATTGATAAAAAGTTAGAACTCCATCCTTTTAGGGGAGAGTAAATTGAATTTAGGTTCCTAAAGTGATATTTTTAATTTCACTTTAATTTTCAATACAATTAATTATTTATTTTGTCTTATATTATTTCAGGAAAAATTGACAGCTGAATATGCCACTAGACAAGAGGAAGAAGCATTTGACCGTACAATACCTCATGCTGAGATATTACTTAGGGCAACTGGTGGGGTCAAGAAAGGATGGTTGAAAGGTTTGGATATTCACACACATCCACAGGATATAGGTGTGAGCACATCTAGACGAGAACCATTCAGGCCACCCATTATAGGACAGTCTAATAGGGTTATCGAATTGGAGCAGACTGTTCAATCATTGAAGGCAGATAATGATAACCTTCGACAACAAATGTCTAGTGTTTTGGCAGATAACGCTAGTCTACGGGAGCAACAATCGATTTTTACGACACAGATGCAACAACAGATGCAGCAACTCTACCAGCATTTCGGCATGACCCCAGCGGATACTAGTGGGACAATCACCCCTAGGACACCCCGAGATATTTAGGTTTTTCTATTTTCAATTAAATATTTGTATTGACTTTATATTTGTAATAGATATTGGAGCCTTATATATTTATACTAAACTTAAAAAAATTTCTAGCATTTTATATAATAAACATTCAATACCAAAAGTCATCAAAAGCATTTTATACTAAACTCCCCCTCAATAAGAGCATATAATCACCAAAATCATAGACAATTAATACCAAAAGTCATAAATTGCACGAGAGCCGGCTCTAGTCCTGGAGCCGGCTCTAGTCTTGGAGCTGGCTTAATTCTAGAGAGAGAAGCCCGAATATTCAAAGAGCTGCAGGAGAGCCGACTCTATTCTTGGAGCCGGCTTAACTTTAGAGAGAGAAGACTCTCGGGTTTTTGGGTGGAGCCGGCTGTGAAAGTGGTTGAGCCGGTTCTACTGCCTTTTTTTTTTACATGATATACGGACCGAAGATGGTCCGTATACATATATACGGATCGGGATCGGTCCTTATATCATGTAAAAAATGGAGCCGGCTTAACTTTAGAGAGAGAAGACTCTCGGGTTTTTGGGTAGAGCCGGCTGTGAAAGTGGTTGAGCCGGCTCTACCACTCATGATATACGGACCGATCCCGGTCCGTATATATGTATACGGACCGAAATCGGTCCATATATTCCCTAAACTGCAGCTTTTTCAATTTTTTTTCCTACGCTATATTTCGTGAATTTTAAAATTTTTCATGTATAATATAATTAAACTTTTACATATTTTAAGTCATTAT